TTATCTGAAGAACTGTTCATATGTGACGTTAACAGTCTGTTGTTCTCTGTTCTATTGTTATTATTAGAACTCGATTTTTAACATCAAATGTCGGTTCCTGGTCTCTGATTTCATAAAATACATTTCCCCCTAAAAGTAGTCCGGTGCGACTTATATATGTTCTTTTCTTCTTCATTATCCATTTTTTGGCTGGTGCAACTTATCGTCTGGGGCGACAATCCAAAAAATATGGTACATGTGTTTGATCCAAATGGTTCTAATGAATGTGTGTGGAGTTTAAAAACACAGTGGAGCACTTCCTGTACCAAGATACAGGCCATACCATCTTGTCAAAGCCTGATTTCGTCAGATCTCAGAAGCTCAGCAGGGCCGGACCTGGTTTGTACTTGGATTGGAGACCGTTGGGAAAATCAAGTCCCACAGGGGGGCGCCATTGGCAAAAACTGTTGTTGTGTCCCTAGGCAAGACACTTCACCCACTTTGCCTAGTAGGAAAGTGGTGGTCAGAGGGGCTGATGGCGCAGATTGGCCCAGGTCAACTGTGACTACAATCGCAGTTTACCACTGTTGAATATACTATTTCACTATGAATAATGAACTGTAAAGCGTCTTTGTGACACATGTCTGTGAAAAGCACCATATAAATAAAAAAATAATAATTTATTATTATTTATTTAAGAGAGCATTTTCAGTTTGAGAGAAGAACTCAGTCTGCAGGGTTTGGGTGTTAAACATGTGTGAATGACACAAAACACAAGTCCAGGTCTGTTTGTGATGAGGAAAAAACACGTTAGAACAGGTCAGAAAATAACATAATGTGAAGCTTTTAACATTTGCTTTTACTATTACTGCTGGTTCTGCTATAATATAATTTGATAAATGAGAATTGCTTGATCCACAAGTTGACAAAGAACATTTTACTGGTTTATTGAGTCATTTAAAAACATTTCTTGGCACATTTGTGGTACAGTACAGTAAAAATAAATGTATATAAGGTCAAAACAGTGTCCGTCCCGCTGTGATGAACGGAGATGACGTCAGCAGTACGTCGCATTAGCATCAATCAGGAGCTCCTCACAGCAGCTGATTGGGACCGGACGACTTGAGGGTCATTCTTCTGCATCAAGAAGGTCAAAGTGGACAAGAGCACGTGGAGATCAGGGAGGAGTAACCCCAACACAACCTTTGTTACTTTGATTATGATAGTTTTATATCCAGTGGCTGCATTAGTGTCTTTTAAACCATTTCATAAGACGTACAACTTTACTTTTAATTACTGTACGTTCAGTTAAATCAAGCACACAAAAACTAAAATGTAAACCTCCAAATATTGATTCTGCCGATATCCTGGTTGAACAAACTGTATGAATCAATGTAATAAGACTATTTGGTCGTATTTGTCCCAAAAACTCTCAGAACTTTTATTTATACAAAGTTCTCTAGTTGAGTGAGAGATAAATTACAACTACTTTTATTTCATTAATTTTTTTTTTAAGGAAATAAATGCTGTTTTTAGTCTCAAAAGCAGTACCGGAACTGAAAAAGCTGGATCGTGCAACAAAATGAAGATGAAAATGTACTGAAATGTAATGAAAATGTACTTTCCTGAGGGGTTCTTTTTTTTTTTTTTTTTTTTTTAAATCAAGATGTTTTTATTGCTTTCAAATTCATATATTTACGTATCTAAATATTTACATATACATACAACTGGCAGGTAACAAACTCACAGATGTCACATTTCTGTAAAATTGTAAAAAAAAAAAATAAAAACATCCCCACCAGAACAGGTCCACGTGAAGAATGGCATAATAATGGCAATAAATAAAATAAATATATAAAATAATAAATAAATTAAAAAAAAATATATAAAAAAAGTGAACCACGTGATTATGTAAAACAATTGGGGTAGGACTCCATAAGTTTTTTAAACTTCATCCTACTCCTTTTGAGCACCAGGTCCCAAATATGTCATGTATATATCACTATTTTTGTTATTGTTTTTGAATTTTGTTGTACCTGACTCAAACAAAGAAATAAATGAATGAATGAATAAATAATAATAAATAATGGCAATAATAATAGATAAATATTGGAATATTAGAAATAGAGTTTTTTTTTATTTTTTTTTATCACTAAACCAATAAAATAAAAATAATAACCTGTTTTAACATTTTATTGATTTTCGTTCTTAATTGAAATTCAAAAGAACGAATTGTACATGGACCAATGATGACTTTTGTTTTCTTGGTGTTATTTGAAGTAAATTTTAAATTAAATATTGGAAATAGAGATCGAAATCTGTTTTTTGTTTGACACTAAAACAGAATAATGCAATAACAAACTGTTTACCCATTTTATTGTTTCTCGTTCTTAATTGCTGAAAAAGAACGAACGGTGCACGATACAAGTACAGCGCCTTCAGTTCATTTCACCATCCAGAGTTTGTAATAATTTACTTTGTCTCGAGTCTGATTTTCATTCTTGGGAAAGTGGATGTAGTAGATTTAATAGTTTTGTCAATAAAGCTCATTTCTAATTCTGGACCAGGAGCGTTTTGAGCTGGACGAGGGACATCTGCTCCTCAGACTCGCTCTGAAAACACAGCTCCATGATTCACTGCGACACTCCTGTCCCGTCCATTATCTATGAGAGACGTCAACTCTGTCTCCTAATGGACACATGCAGAGGACACGGGACAGGGACAGCGGCAGGGACAGCGGCAGGGACACTAATGTTGACTGACAGACAGGACCTTTACCGCTCTGCAAACCGTCAAGGAATGTACAAGGAATTTTTACTCCAGTCAAAAGAATTTAACAGGAGATCTAGCACCAGTGAGACGCGCCGTATCTGCGGAGACGATATTTCCAGATACATTTGTGTGACGTGTTGACAGTTTTGATGTAGCAGAACTTTATTTACGAAGAATAAAAACACAAAGACTGTACAATGAAGTCAGTCAAATGAAGCTCATGAGGCAAGCATTTATGGGATGAATTTTGAGCCAGAAAAAGACAAACAGAACAAGATAAAATAGTGAAATAAAAACACCAGGATGATCTACTGTAGAGAAGAGTCCTACACGGGTCCATTTTTGGAGACCCACACCTGCCCGCAACTGCGCAGTACAGCACCGCACCCGCCCGTTAACCCGTGATTATATCAAAGTTAAATCTGCACCCGCCCGGACCCAAGATAAATTACACAAAAGCATTCTAACAGAAGCATCCATCAGAATATGAATTGAAAAGTTACGACGGCAAGAATTACAATCACGAAATCAAATGAAACGGTTACAATTTCTTCAGTACGAATACGAATTCACAGACACGACTTGACTGTCAAAACTTCACAGGCTTCATTTACTGAGCAGAAGAAACATTGATCGAGATGCTGGACTTTTGTGCCGCACATGAACTGATCCAGGACTAACCCAGAACTGAACCAGGACTCACTGTCGGGGTGCATCTGTGTAGACCGTTTTGCAGACACCCTGGTTCCCGGCCTTGGGGTTCTCTCTCGCTTAAGCCCAGGATTAGTCCTAGTTTAGTCCAGGTGTACTCCTGGTGTACTGCTGGTGTACTCCTGGTTTAGTCCTGATTTAGTCCTGACCCACTCGTGCGTAATTACTACCCGCAGGTAAAATTCCATAAAGTTAAAACCTGCCTGTTTCAGACACTATTTGCCCGTGGGACTCTGATGTAGAGTGGGTTAATATGAACATTTTAAGACCACAATGACGAGGCTCACAGCCGCAATTACAGAGAGAGGGGCCAGTTCAAGTGGTGGGGGCAGAGAGGCTGGGGGGGGGGGCTGGTCAAAAGGACATGGAGGGCCGGAGTCAGACCATGGGCCTTAGTTTTATGACCCCTGCAATAGGATGTAATATTACAGTTATTCTACACCATAGGTACATGTTTTGGTATTTTATAAAAGCTTAATATTTGTTCTTTTTAAACACACAAAATAAAAAGTCCCCAAACTCTCTCACATAATCTAAGCTTTCCCTTTGGTACATTCATGATTCTAATTGAAGGGAGAGACTACATTTGTCAAACCCACTACGGTCTTCAGTGACAGCGCTCCCGTATGTGTGCTGTTGTGTTTAAGGTCTCCAAATGAAGACAGATGAGGAGTGATGGAGCAGTGCAGTTGGTGAGGTACAATATACATTACACAGGGACTTTAACCCCTCAAAATCCATCATATAGTATAAATATGTGTCTGCTGACCATTAGAATCCAATTAATTATCCATGTATAAGACTGCAGGTTTGTATTGATCCAAAGTCTGCTCCATCTGTCTGCATGAATGCACCTGCACCTCAGCATTGGTGTAACACTCTTGCTGCTTAAATAATGCACATGCACAGATTTCAGAGTCATAATATCAGCTCTATAACATTACAATGAAGTGAAACAGTTCAAACAGTGACAAAAACATTTGCTCCGGCAGTGTATCTATGTACTGAATGAAACAAAAAACAACTCAAGGGTAATTTAAAGAGCAAAACGTGTAAATTAATTGAAAAAGAATTGTTTTCATTTAAATTTTTATATGCCCATGCATTTTTGTATAAAGAGCTGCCTTCACGTTAGAATTTCTCCAGACGTGGCTTAAACTAACTGTAGATAATCAGTCAACACTGCCACCTGCCGGGCATCAGGATCACTGCAGTCATTGTTGTTACCGTTAACTTTGGAATCAAGTAAATGTTATTGTGTTTTTGTTTTATTTACTTAAAAAAAAAAAAAAACTCAAATAGGAGTAAAATATGCTCTCTGGAAATTATGGTTTCTTCAAAAAGTAAGTGTAAACTGAGTGCTACCCACTGCTGGTTAATTTCTTATTTTTTGCATAAATGTGTATATAAAATGTCTTTATTGTTTTTCATACACGTAATTATTACTAACTAACAATATAAGCCTATTTAAATAATTATTCGATACAAATTCGATTTTATTTGCCGCAAAAAAATCACAGTTTCCTCTTCTTTCCCACGCTCTTGAACGCATCTTCTTTGCCCATGTCTGTTTGCATCACGGATAAACAACAGAAGCCGAGCCACAGCAGCATCACAACTGGTCACATCCAGGTAGAAAACTTTACATTCCCGCATTTTTACACCTCAGACCGCATTTTTATTTCTCTCAGATTTAGTCTAGACTTTACGGTGAATGTTTCGTGCTTCTTGATTGTAAATGAACTTTGTCAGACGTGATTGCTAACGTGTACGCTAGCTACCGAGGCTGCATCATTTGTTCTTGTTTGGCTAAATCATCTGTAATTGTCAAATCGTGATATTGGACATCGTGTTCTTGATGATTGATTGATTGATTTTTTTGGACTCTGCGTCTTAAAATCACACTTATGTCTTCACTGTATTGTAGATCTTGTCCAATTTGTTTTAAAACATAATATTGGATGTGCTAAAGGCTGAGGCCCAGCTAAAGTTGTGCTGCGGCGTCAGCATGGTGCATGGTCAGGGCTGATGCAGCTGATGAGAAGCACCGAAAATACATCTTTTTACTCCGATGTTTAAGGTTTGAATGGTTTTCTAAAGGTGTACTACGCAGCTTTTGTAATGGAGGGTCCGTCCAATACTCTTCACCATGGAGATGTCATTGTTCTGCTTTAAATGTTCCACACTATGACATTATGACTTAGACAAACTTTATTGAGTCACAAGGAAAATTATTTGGACACAGTAGATCACACATCACACTATACTGTAATAACAAAAAGTAAAAAAATTAATAAATGGTTAGGGGTGTGCAAAAATATCGAAACATCAATATGTCGTATCGCCTAATGTGATGATACAATATCAATATCGTGGGCTGCTGTATCGATATATCACCAAGAGTATTTTTTGGTATATTTTACTGAATTATTTTATTACAGTACTGCAGTTGCAATTGCTTGTTTAGAGGAAGGAAACTCGTTTATGCAACACATTTGACATTTTCACGTGTTTTGATGATTAAAGCTGTAGAGCTATTTTTATCAGCGCTAGTTTATAGTTTATGGAAATGAGCCATGCGCTTCCAAGTTTCATTTCTGTAAAACATTAACAAATGTGGCCTGAAGCCAAATGCTGCCACATTGCAGAAGTACTAGTATTATTTTGGGGACCAACTCGCTTGTGGCTGGACTTGTCATCTTGTCTTGGTCTCCCTGATGAGCGTCACGTGACAACAGAACAAAACTAATTAAACGTCATCTCCCCACGCAGTTAAAAGAAACATTATAGACACTATTAGATTTAAATCTTGATAACATTAAATTGAAAATACAACCACACATTAATTTGTGCTGAGCAAAGAAATTTAGGTATCAATAAATTATAATATTATATGAGGTCCTTATGAGCTGTATATTTTTTAAATGACGGTAATGAAACTGATACCGTTGCTACTTTTTAATACGGCAGGATACAGCAATACCGTATTACTGCCCAACCCTATGAATAAATTCTAAATAAGTAGCAAAAGAGACAGCAAGAGACAGGTGTTAAATAAGGCATAATTATGTAAGTGTAAAAGTCAAAATAAAATAGAAAATAAGTAATAAAATATAAACGGAGCAACAATGATATGATGATTGACAGGACATATGGTCATCTGTTATATAAGGGTGAATTGTTGTACAGTTGTAGGGAGTATTATCTGTTACATAAAGGCGAGATGTTGTACAGTTAAACAGCTCTACCTCACAGTTATTCAATTAGGTGGTTTTATAGCTCAAAAATACCTATAAAAACTAATTCTGGGTGTAAGCAGAGTCGCCTCTCCACAGATCTGACCTGTAACTTTGTCTGGTTTGGTCTCCATGAAGATATAAAGGTTTAAAACCATACTGTGAAACACTTCCAGACAAAGGAATAAGATTTCTGTGGAGAAAAGTATTTGACGGAGCCTCCACCAGAAAATTTACACAATGCAGCTTTAAGTGTTACTGCTTGTTGGTAAGAAATTCTGGACATGGTTGCAAATAAGAATGCTTGTGTTAAATTGTGTGAACACTTCACTTCATCATTATTTTAATTATTTGCAGATTCAGTCATTGTCAGAACATCAAGTATTTTCTTATTTTTTACTAATTTGTCCATCAAAGTAGAATTAGGGCTTGGCGAGGCATTTAAAATCAGAAATATCTGTATTGAGATCTTATGATGGAGCGAATAACTAAAGCTGCAAAGCTGCTTTTTTATAACAATAAAGTTTCATAATCCTATTTTTGTCTTGACTTTTATGCAGTACATTAATTGCATTTGTCGAGCTGAGGCTGCACATTTAATTACTTTTGGATTAACTGCGAAGATAAAGCCACAGTCTGCTCTCTTAATGGAAAAAATCTTAACTCTACGCCTCCACAAACGTGTTCTGAAATGCATGAAATGTTTCGAGTTAATATTTCAGTATTGTGTCAAATTTGAGTGTTCCTGGAAAAATTATTTTTCCCTTAATCGAGCTGCTCTTAGACGTTACTTCCAGTTTTTGTTGTACATCGGTGATTAGGATCAGGATTGTGTCGTTACTCATTGCACCATACAGTTTTCAGTTTGGTCAATAATGAACATAAGGAGAATATTACATACTAAACTTTTCATTCAATTCATTCTAAAGTTTTCTGAGACTAGAGTGTGATAAATGTATTCACCAGAAGTGACCCAGCATCTTACTGGATTGTTCCATGACTCATGTTTGTGTTGTTACTTTGTTTTGTCTTATGAACTCTATTGGCACACACTTGCAACAGTAGCATTCATTTCCAAAGAGCAGCACAACAAACCTAAAGTCCTTTTCACCCTGCCACTTTTTAGGTCAATGTAAAAGTGCATTTGTTTGGGCCACTGTGAGCACAACAGTCACATTCTGGATCACAGTAAATGCTCATTCTGCGAGAGCCTGAAACAGTCTGAAGTAGCTCCTCTCTCACTCTTCAGTCACGCGCACACTGAGGTGACAGTAAAGGTGCTTGGAATTGGATTTAAAAGCACTTTATCATGTATATTTATATGAACCGGCGCTGCAGAGCTGTTTTTTGACACGTCCATCTGACTATTAGCCCCCTGTGAAAGAAAAAAAACACAGCGTATAGCACCAGGGAAGTGAACATTAGTGACGGGAGGATGATGCCTGAAGAAGTGTATTGACACATCAAACAAACTGTGTTGACACTGTGTTGGTCAGTCAATAGTGACCTCTGCAGTAGTTCTAAAATCATTGCAGGTAAACAAAATGAAAATAAGATGGAAAAACTTACATGCTGCAAACAAAACATCAGTGCGTGACATAATACTTAATCTTTATTTATTTGCTAGTCTTTTACTTAAAATATGATCTCATCATTGTGCCGAGCGCTATAATGCCTCAGTATTGGTGAAGTGCTCTTATTGATGTAAGAGCTGAGCAGACACTTCACCTACAATAAAATAAAAAGTTAATTTATCTGAAAACAATTCAAACCTCTTACTAGAAAAGAATAGAAACATATTTAATTAAAAAACTAAGAGTAAACAATGACCAAAGGAGAAAAAGATTGATCTTATTCGGCATCAAAAGATCAAAATTGGAATGATTCATGAAGTCAGAAGTAGAAGCAAAGCAAAAATGCAACAGCAACAACAAACACAGTTTAGTCTCCATCCAACAAATCCGCAACATGTAAATACTCTTTGATTCCTTATAAACACAATTTGGCGGGGCACACCCAAACGACACACTTCCTGTATCGGTCACATGATTTTTTTTCTTAAAGCGATACATGCACATGGGCTTTCACTCTTGTGCACTCAACACACTTCTGACGCACCAGTGTTTGTTCGTTCCATCACAAGTCAACATGTGTGTGTGTCTATTCAGGGGGCTCTGTTGCTTGAAGCTCATCGTCATGAAAATAAGTTTGGTGATCATCTGATGGCCTCTCACGTGGTTCATGGTGCAGATTTGGGGTGAATTATGCGCAGTGTGTGTGAATAAAACCGATCCAAAGTTAAATAAACAGAACTAAATCTAAGTCCAGTCTGGGATCGGTCCACAGAGCGCAGTGACGTATGCGAAAATGTCAGCAAAGGACGGGCAATCCATTGTACAAATAACAGCTGTAAACGTGTAAGTGTTTGTTTATATAGTTTTATCTGAATGTTAATGTTTGACAGATTATAGACTGATCTTAGACTTAGACAAACTTTATTGGTCCACAAGGTAAATTATTTGTACACAGTAGCTCACACATCACAGTATAGTGTCATAACAGAGAGTTAAAAATATAACTAGTAATAATAAATTCTAAATAAGTAACAAAACCGATACTTGTCTTGTTTGTGTTGCAGCTGTGACCATGGGGAAGGCCTTCTCCCACTTCACCCAGCTGATGGGGCAGGATGACGGGCAGAGCAGCCACCTCACGACCCCCATCGAGGAGAGCCAAACGGAGGAGACCAAGAGCGAGGACGTGTCCCAGTTCCCCTACGTGGAGTTCACCGGCAGGGACAGCGTCACCTGCCCCACCTGCCAGGGCACGGGCCGGATACCCCGAGGTAAGAGGGGGACTACAACTGAATAATCCTTAGGGCTGATGATATGGCAAAAAATTATCATAATATTGTTTTTTTATTCAATTTAATTATTTCTATTCAAAATGGCTGCAAAGTTTCACTCTTTAAGTTTTTCGTGGGGGGTCTGTCACCTTCTTGTTTCTATGGATACATCATTGCTCTGCCTGGAATGTCCCACAGTGTGACATTAAACAGATCTGGCTCACATTTATTCAATTAGAGATGGTTTTATAGCTCAAAAATACCTAAAAAAACAAAACAAAAAACAAGCATTCTGACTGTGAGCGGGGTCGCCTCTCCACAGAGCTGACCTGTAACTTGGTCTGGTTTGGTCTCCATGAAGATAGAAAGGTTTAATGCCATACAATCGAACATTCCAGAGAAAGCAATAACATCTCCATGAAGAAAAGCATTTGACAGACCCTTAACCTGAAAAGTTAAGACAAATTCAGACATAAACAATTCAGACCTTTACTTAGTCAGCGCCTTTTATCATAAAAAAGCCCAATTTCCTCCTCCAAAGTTTGAACTCTGCTCCAAACCACATTCTTTTACTCAAGGATTCAAGGATCAAGGATTGACTGTGGACTTAAACAAAAACATTTCATTTTGTTTTAGACAGGACTAGTCTTTATTCAAATTCGATTCCCAGCAGTACCCATCATGCAAAGCTGAGGAAAATCTTTAGTCAAACACTGTCCAGTATATCGTTGTTATTGTTTATTTCTTGTCTTCTTTATTTTAATATGGTTTCGTCCCTTTGCTGAATTGCTTATCCCATTTTAGTTTTTAATTTGTGGGATTTTTTTATGTTCTTTTCTTTGTTATTATTAAGTATGAGTGGGTGTGGATGTGATGTGTGGGTGGTGTTTCTTTGAGTGTGAAGCCTGACCTCCTAGGATTTATCAATAATAACAAAAAAACAACAACACTAACACTAGGCCTGTCACCATAATCACTACATCGACTTATCGTTCAATATGTGGAGTTAATATGATTGGCTGAGATTCAGGAGCAGGACCCACGCCTCAACCTCCCCCTCCACCACGACTTCAATTACCCAGAAGCCCTATTTATACAGTATTCCAGTGTTATGGTCCTTGCTAGTGAAGTATTTGTAACAGAAGAAACAACATTTTGGGGATCAGTATTTATCGTTTACTTTTTCTAAGATTTAAGATGTAAAAGGTTGAATTAATAACTTATATGAGGCATTACAGACACAAAGTAAGCACTAAAGTGTTTCATTCTGCTATGTGTTTATTACAGCTCAGGATTTTTAACAATATTGTGCATTTGGAATAGTTTTTGTGGTTTAAATCTGCACTTAAGTTCTATTGACAGTGGCATAAATTAGTCTCAGAATTATTGTTTATCGTCCACTGTTTATTTTTTTCAGCACGTCAGTATTTGGTATTGTGACAGGCCTATCTAAAACTAACATGAGAAAATATTGCATTAGAAAATAAAAAAAAACAGAAGTATGGTATCAGTGCTGTTGATGTGGTTTAATTTATAAGTTCCTTGCTGTTGTTCCAGGGCAGGAGAATCAGCTGGTGCCTTTGATCATGTGCTGTTTCTTTGCACTATGGAAAATGTTGTGTTATTTTTTGGCTATATAAGTTTTTTATATAAGTTTGTAAAAGGTTGAATTAATAACTTATATGAGTCATTACAGATGCAAACTAAGCACTAAAGTCTTTCATTCTGCTATGTGTTTATTATAGTTCATGATTTTTAACTATATTGTGCATTTAGAATAGTTTTTGTGGTTTAAATCTGCACTTAGGCCTGTCAAAATCACAAGAACTTATCTAAAACTAACATGAAAAAGTATAGCATTAGAATATTACAAAAAAAAAAAAAAAACATTAGTGTGGTTTAATTCATAAGTTCCTTGCTGTTGTTCCAGGGCAGGAGAATCAGCTGGTGGCTCTGATCCCCTACAGTGATCAGAGGCTCAGGCCCAGGCGCACGTGAGTAACTCCAGCACAGTCCACCCAAAGATTCAACTCAAAAGTGTTTCAAACTATCTTTTTTACAGTGGTTAAATGTAAAAAAGGTACATTTGTTGCACAGGAAGTTGGGGCTACTGGGTCTGTCCATGGTCCATGTTAACCTATGATTCAAATCCAACCTCACACAGCACCACAGTTGTTTTCTTAAAGAGGCGGTATCATGCAAATTCAGCCTTTTGTAGCTTTATACTCTGTTGTAAAGTTGTTCCCTCAGGTTTTGTGTCATCCATGCATCTTTGAGTACCGTATTTTTCGGACTATAAGTTGCACCAGCCAAAAAAATGCATAATGAAGAAGAAAAAAAATATATAAGTCGCACTTTTTGGGTGAAATTTATTTTATAAAATCAGAGACCAGGAACCGACATTTCATTTAACGTCACGTATGAACAGTTCTTCAGATAAACTATAACAGAAACAAAAGAACAGAACAAGTTTAACAAACTCTCCATCTCACTAAATCCATTCAATTCTTCATCCTCGGTGTCACTTCTGAGCAACTCCAGGACCTCCGGAGGTAAACAGAGCGCCGCTTCCTCTTCTGTGTCGCTGTCGTCAGACTCAGCATCAGCTCCAGTTAGAATTATTACCAGCCTTTCTGAATCCCGACAGGATGGTTTCAGTTGTCTTTGTTTGTTTAAATTTTTTATTTTCAGTGGTACAGTAGTAATGGTGCGATCGACTGACATGATACAGACAGGACAGAGGCTCTTTCTGCAGGAGACATGCGCAGTAGAGCCAAGTGACAGTGGTACAGGAGGAACAGGAGCAGCAGATACTCACACACAAGAGTAGAACCTCTCATAGCTGTCAGTGTCAAAATTTTAATATATAAGTCGCACCAGAGTATAAGTCGCAGGAAACACCCAAACCATGAAAAAAAGTGTGACTTATAGTCCGAAAAATACGATAATCTAGCCATATCTCCTGGGCTGTACAATATGTCCAATGCTCCGCTCCTTCGTCACCCATGTTCCCAGATTGCAAATCTCCTTAAAAGCAGGATACATGACAATACAATACAATGTCACAAACTGATCCGATGTGCAGTAGTTTGTTCGCAGTAGACACGGTGATTGTGTTGTAGTAACGCTCTGAGAAAAGAGAGAGGTGTAGTGTAACCGAAACTTATTCAACATTTTAATACACTGTTTTTGACAAATACAGCATTTTCACATTTGTGCTGGATTTCCCTGTGTTGCATTTCACTTAACTATAGCCATGGAGAAAAGCATGTGACACAATAAGGCCAAGTTACAGGACAGATGTAGAGAGAGGCAAGCCCGCTGACAATAACGATGTCTTTCAAAGTCATTTTTAAGCAATAAAACTGAATAAATGCAAGATGAAAAAGTTTATTGCTACACCGAAACAGGCAAAACAGTAACATTTTCTTAGAGAGAAGCGTCTCGTGGACCCTCATCGGAAAATTATACTGACCTTACATTGCCTCCTTCGTATTTTTCATACATTTGTTTATTACCATGATCCTCGTTTCCACTGACCCAGAAGAGTGACCCCCTTAACGTACAGAAGTTGCCCGATGTGCACCGTCCCCCCAATAATTATTTGCGGTTGTTAAATCAGCCGCAGAAACATCTGGCCCCCGCGTTCACCTATTGAGCAGTGACCCGTAAACCAGGGCAATTTAAATGACACTTTTACATGAGTCACATTTAATTTGACCCCATTTCACAATACAGTACAATTATGTAGGTCTGTAGTGTTTAAAGATCCCGTATTACACAAAATGGATTCTTGTGAGTTTTAAGCCATGTTATAAGGCTGTTTCCTCATCATTATGGGTGTGCAGAAATATCAAAATATGGATTTATCGTATCGTTTAATGTGATGATACAGTATCGATATCGTGGGCTGCTGTATCGATATATCACCAAGAGTAATTTTTGGTGTATTTTATGAAACAGCGCTGCAGTTTTGTTGCTTGTTCAGAGGAAGGAAACTCATTTATGCGACACATTTGACATTTTCACTGTTTTGATGATTAAAATGTTTGTGTTTCATATGAACTTTGCACAAGAAGTGGTTTAACAAAGACTTTTAGTATCACAGCCATCATTTAAACTTTATTTTTTACTGAACCATATCAAATCGATTCTGTATATCGTATTGAATCGAAAACTCACTGTATCGAGATATGTATCGTGTATCATATCTGGAGTTGTGTTTTGTTTCATTCACACATGTTTAACACACAAATCCTGCAGATTTAGGCTGAGTTCTTCTCTCAAACAGAAAACACTCTGTTCCACCTTGTGATGTCATCGGGTAATACAGCCAACAGGACATGCTTCACTGTGATTTTAAACTCCATACACCTTCACTAGAATAATTTTGGTGATTTTAGCCCTGGAATGAGCCATTTTATTACTTTACTAACCTAATTACTCATCCGGGGCTTTGGCACGTAAGGGCAAAAAGCTTCATTTAAGAAGAGTTGGTCCAATGGTGCAGCAGTTGGTTGTTTAGAAGGGCATTACTTTTGACTGACATGCGCTTAAGTTTCTCGTATTTATCTCACCTTATATTAAAGGCAGCACATGACACACATGCTCTTATTTTGATGAATAACTTTACGCTTTTACTTTGTGGTTACTTGGACGGAGGAGAATTACGGAGAACTTTACGCAGACTCGTTTGGATACGTCTTTACGCACACACTTCATTCTGGATATATTCACCAATGAGGAGCATGATTTTGGCAGAGTTTTGGTTCATATCTGTTAATCTCAATGAGACTTTTTCCTGGTTTAATAACAGATATTTTATTTAAAATATCTGTTATCTGTTTGACTTAAATTTTACGCGGACACTGCAGGCTGTGACCGGATCTGGATTTATTATTGCGTTCTTTGGCCTTGAGACACTATAAACTTCCCGCACTGGAGACTGGATGTTTTCAGATGGATATAACTTTCACGCTACACGCTGTTTCTTCAGCTCTTCTGTTTTACCGATAAGAAACACACTGCGCTTTGTTTGGATACATGTAGGAAGGCATCACAATGGTGGCTCTCCATCGTGATCGTCCATCGGAATCACCCTATTCGTGACATCGCAAGGTGGAACAGAGCATTTTGAGATTTGGAGATGTAGCCAGACTAATAAAAAGTATTACTCAAACATGTGTGAATGAAACAAAACACAACTCCAGGTCTGTTTTTGAGGAGATAACAACATTATAACATGGCTTAAATCTCATAAGAATCCTTTTTATGTAACATAGGACCTTTAAATATATTCATTTTCCCTGCCCTCCATCTGTAATCAAATATCGACCTATAGATTGTTGTTATGTCATCTGAAACTCCATCTGATGAGTTGATAGTGTGTCTAACTTGTGGATCGTCTGTTCTGTTGTAGGAAGTTGTACGTGACGGCCTCGGTGGCGGTGTGCCTGCTCCTCTCTTCTCTGGCCGTCTTCTTCCTCTTCCCTCGCTCCATAGACGTGTCCTACGTGGGGGTCAAGTCTGTGTACGTGGGCTACGACCAGGAGAGGAGGAGCGTCTATCTCAACATCACGGTAAGATACACGAAAAAAGATAAAGACAATCCATAGGTGGAATCAAAGGAATAATAATTTTTCTAGACAAAGCGATAACATCTCCATGAAGACAAGCAGTTGGCAGAAAGTGTGTAATTTGAGATTTTTTTTTCATAGTTTCTCTCAGCTAATCAAAGTGTTTGTCAAGGTATCAAATATTATATCAAATCAAATATTATACTATATATACTATTACTATTACTGTATACAATGCCATTATATATCTTGTTTGTAGGGCATGCACCATCAAGTAACTTTAAAATTATTAAACTGCAAAAAGGTTAAAACTGAGACTAAAGCATCTGACTTAATCCTCAGTAGTAACCACACATTTATGTATGTATTTATTTTTATTTTTGTTTCATTTTTATTTTTATTTCATGTATTTATTTTAGTGTACACCATATTTTGTATAAATATTTTTTTTATTTTAATTTTAATTTTATTTACTTATTCATTTATTTTTTGTATACTTTACATTTATTTTTATTTCATTTTATTTTATTTATTTATTTTTAATATACATCATATTTTGTAGAAATCACATTTTTTAAAAAAGTGTTTAATTTGTATTTTTATTTCATTTATTTATTTATTTTAGTATACATCACATTTAGTTTTAAATTTTTTTATTAATTAATTTTTATTTTACCTTTTATTTAATCAGGAGGTCCCATTGAGATTCAGAATGTCTTTTCCCAGACAGACCGTGCCAAAGTAGCAGTCACACAATCAATACAAAACAGTAAAATCACGAAGTATCTCATTATAAAAACATTTGCATCTCTCAAGAAAATCATAAACATGTCTCAGTCACCACACTTTTTACATTTTTACATTTTACACATTTTGAAAAGGCAGACTTTTCCAGCTCAGAGACACAGTGAGGAGTAACTGGGAGGAGGAGCAAAGCCGGTGACTACCTAAAATAAAATAAAAACTTAAAAAAGGAATTCAAGAATAAATCACTTCTTTCAAGCAGCGTCCTACACATGTATAATTCTGCTGCCTGTTGTCGTTGTCATTGTTACTTCAAGAGCACATTATCCAGCAGTGCCCTCTTGTGGCGGTCAGTGATCTTGCACGCAGATGGTGCACTCAGATGATGATTTTTTATTTTTTTTCATTTAATAATTTTTTTTTTTATTACATTTCGCCAGTTTGGTAATTAAAATAAATAAATTTTTTAAAAAGCCTTTGGACATGGAGTGTGCTGTGCATTTTCTTCACTTTTCATTTGCTGTTGCACCTCTACAAGAACTTTGCTGAGCGTTTTCTGTTTCGTTCCTCTCAGTGATCTTGCACCTGACAGTTTGATCTTATACATCTATGACAAAACAAAAAGAACAATACAGTAATAAAACAAGCCTCATGCAAGAGTTGAATTTCTCACTGTCATGACTTGTCTGTGTTTGTGTTTGTGTTTGTGTTGTTTCCGTCAGAACACTCTGAACATCACCAACAACAACTACTACTCTGTGGAGGTGGCCAACATCACGGCGCAGGTGCAGTTCGCAAAGACGGTGATCGGGAAGAGTCGCATCAGCAACATCACCGCCATCAGCCCCCTGGACATGAAGCAGGTACAGGACAGGACGCCGATCAGACATGCACAGACCGCTGTTACCATGGTGATCAGACATGCACAGATCAGTGTTACCGTGGAGATCGAACGTGTACAGTCCACAGTTACTATGGCTACCAAATGTGCAGGCTGCTGTTTCTGTGGTGATCAAACCTGCACAGGTTGCTGTTACCGTGGAGATCAGACATGTACAGGACGCTGTTACCGTGGTGATCTGACATGTACAGGTTGCTGTTACCATAGTGATCAGACATGTACAGGTCGGTGTTACCGTGGTGATCAGACATGTATAGGACGCCGTTACCGTGGTGATCAGACATGTACAGGACGCCGTTACCGTGGTGATCAGACATGTACAGGTTGCTGTTACCATAGTGATCAGACATGTACAGGACGCCGTTACCGTGGTGATCTGACATGTACAGGACGCCGTTACCGTGGTGATCAGACATGTACAGGACGCCGTTACCATGATGATCTGACATGTACAGGTTGCTGTTACCATAGTGATCAGACATGTACAGGACGCCGTTACCGTGGTGATCTGACATGTACAGGTTGCTGTTACCATAGTGATCAGACATGTACAGGACGCCGTTACCGTGGTGATCAGACATGTACAGGACGCCGTTACCGTGGTGATCAGACATGTACAGGACGCCGTTACCGTGGTGATCAGACATGTACAGGACGCCGTTACCGTGGTGATCAGACATGTACAGGACGCCGTTACCATGATGATCTGACATGTACAGATCAGTGTTACCGTGGTGATCAGACATGTACAGATCAGTGTTACCGCGGTGATCAGACATGTACAGGACGCCGTTACCGTGGTGATCAGACATGTACAGGACGCCGTTACCATGATGATCTGACATGTACAGATCAGTGTTACCGTGGTGATCAGACATGTACAGATCAGTGTTACCGCGGTGATCTGATATGTACAGGACGCTGTTACCATGGTGATCAGACATGAACAGATCAGTGTTACCATGGCGACCAAATGAACTGCTTGCCGTTGCTATGATGATTGGACATGTACAGGCCACTCTGACCACGGTGATCAAATATATACAGGGCGCTGTTACTATGGTGACAAAAACATGTACAGGCTGCTATTACTGCGTACGCCCTCCTCTCACTCCTCTGCTCTGTTTCAGATCGATTACACGGTCCCCACGCTCATCGCCGACGAGATGAGCTACATGTAGTAAGTAACAACACTCCGTAACAACACCATTAGAATATGCTGCATTTTTTGCCATTATAAATCAATTACACTTAAACTAAGGGGGCAAAGCACACCAGAAAGCGCACACACTTTGGGAAACTCAGCCCTGTGAATAACACCATATCTCATTTTACCATTTCTCGTCGTTAACTGATTATCTGTTGTTTGTTCACTTTTGTATTTTGACCCAAATCCTCGTCTTCCCAGTGACTACTGCACGCTCCAGACCATCAAAGTGCACAACATCGGCGTCATGATGCAGTAAGCCCCTTTAGCCCTCTACACTGAAGTCTAGGGATGTATCCGTAACTGAAAAGTACTATTTTGTTGCAGCAGCAGTTAAAAAAATAAATAAATGAAATAAAAAACTACATAGATCCTTTGGTCCATTTTAGTGCAGACTGTATGAAAAAAAAAACTTCTAGGGGTGCAGCTAACGTTTATTAGTTGGTTTATTATTAACTTAAGGTTTCAATATAGTGATTTTTGCATGATTAAAGTGTTGAAATTCTAAAACTATGTATTCTTTTGGATATTTTGTAGTCATTATAAAAAGTTATTGTCATCTGTATATTCCAGATAATGACTGAAATAACTTTTTATAGTCGACCAGTCACAATTTGTCCATTAATCAAGACTTTATTTGTTAGCCTCTCCGAAATGAGATGCATATCATGATAATATTTAAATTTTAAATATGCAACTATTAAATATTATTAGCCCACAGATTGTTGTGACGTCATCTGAAGCAGTAACCCATCTCCCCGTCTGCTTCCCTTTTCTCCTTCTGCCAGAGTCACGGTGACCACCACGTACTTTGGCCACGCCGAGCAGGTTTCTCAGGAGATGTACCAGTACGTGGACTGCGGAGGAAACACCACGGCGGTCAGAGGGGCGCCCCAGAGCTTCAGCGTTCCCCACGGCAACCAATAACTACTGTCCCACCACTCGCGCACCACAAAACGATCTGCACACGAATAAACATCCACATCAGTTGCACTTGATTTGAGTTTTGAAATTTACTAGGTTTCAAAATACTTCTCATTTCTACAAAAAATACCTGCTGAATTTGAGTAGTGTTGGTTAATTTGATGATTTATAATTTAAATATTCCGGAAATGCAAAAAGATGAGTTTTTTCACAGCAAGAAGCAACATCTACGCAAATTAAAATGACTTAAATTAAGAACATTTTACTATTTGAGTAGATTAAAATATCTGCCAATGGAATAAGTTTTTTTCTTATTTCGAGCAACATTCAAGCAATGTTTTATTTTTATTTTAAGTGCGTTTAAGTTGTGTTTTTGTTATCTTAAGTGTAGCAAGACGTATTTTCATATTTTAAGTACAAAAAGTCTTATTCCATTGGCAGATAATTTTACGTGTAAGTGAAATTTACTCAAATCGTGATAAAACTTTCTTAATTCAAGTCATCTTAACTTTAAATTTGAGTTTTTGCCGTCTTACTTTATTCTTAAAGCGGCTCTAAGTAAAATTTTTTGGTGGATACTACACCACGTCTTTGTCTCTGGCTTGGAATTTTGCACAGTATGGCATTAAACTTGCTTATCTCCATGGAGACAAGCAGGCTGCACCACCAGGCCGAGTTACAGGTCAGATCTGTGCAGAAACATCCCCGCTCACGGTAAGAATTCATGTTTTTCAAGATGTTTTTGGACAATAAAAAGCACCTGTAATAAAATACATGCAAGCCGTGTGTAATGCCATACTGCGGAACATTCCAAGTGAAGCAATAACCCTCTCCGAATTCAGTAATATCTTAAAATATTTAGAAATTTAATAGTGAAATCAGAAACTGTCTTCACTATTAAAGCTAAATAATTGGATGTAAAGCTGCACTGTGTAACTTCTAACTTGCTTGTCTCCATGGAGATGTGATTTCTTTGCTAGAAATGTTCCACAGTAGAGCAAAAAACACATCTGCCTCGCATTTGTTCGATCACAGGTGTTTTATGACTCAAAATATCTTAGAAAAACATGAATTCTTACCATATTTGAGCTCGCTTCTCCATAGATCTGACCATTAACCTGTCTCCATTGTGGAGTTTATGTCCGTACTGTGAAATAATCAAGTAAAATCTCCATGGAGACGAGCAGAAAAGCTACGCAGCGCACATTTTTAACGCGTTCAAATCATGTATCGCAAAGAAATACAAATTAGTCCGACCGACTCAAATCAAGTTACATTTTCTCGTGTGGATTTGTTTCTCAGCGCAGAGTTTTATGACATTTTCTGTTTCCATTTTTGTTAAGTTGCACATAATCTTTAATTCACCACAAAGACGATAGTTGTCAAATATAACAACTAGTATATTTTTTAAAACTTGATTTATCTTGAACACTTTTCAGACCAGAATGCACTTTATAATAAGTCCAGTGTTGAGATCCGAGGTGGTTCAGTGTGTCCAAAAACACGACTAAATACGAACTCTAAAATGACTTGAATTCAACACGAGTATTTTAAATTTAGTGCAAATGAGAAGTTTTGACAAGTTTACATTCATTTTACTGGTTTCGAAACAATATGATACAGTTATGATTTATTATTTTGTGTTGTGTAAATCAAAATCGGTACAAAAATTGCACTTAAAAATACATTTCAAATCGATTAGTAGCGAATTTATCTTGAGAAAAATCGTGAAAATTACATCTGAACTAGTCAAAACAACTCAAAGGTATAAATAAATATTCTGAATTCAAGTCATTTTTAGTGTTTGCGGGGTAAAGAGTCGAGTACTGCCAAGTTAAAGGGCCAATATTGCGCTATTTAATGATTTTCTTTGTTATAATGTTGTTTCCTCGTCACAAACGGACCTGGAGTTGTGTTTTGTTTCATTCACACAAGTTAAACTCTGAATATTTAGACTGAGTTCTTCTCTTAAACAGAATACAGCGTTCCACCTTGTGATGTCATGCGGTAATACAGGAAATGCTCCACTTTTATACTCACTTTTCTGCCCAACAAAGGCAAAAGACCTTAACTCATCAGAGAATGAAACTGAGAAAAATGACATCAAAGTTTATATTTTGTCCAGTCAAAAGTAAAATAATAATAAGAGGCAGTTGCTATAATGAAGAAATATTTGTATGTGAAAAATATTGAGCTCAGAATTGCCCTTTGACCCTTATTTGTCAGTTCCTGTGCTCTGCCTTTGTATCATGAGCCAAAAATAAGAAGTCGTGCAAAGACAAAAGGCAGAAACAGTGTCAGTTACTGCCTTTTGCCATAGGGGGCAGTATACCCCATGGATCTATTAAAATAATTGCTGCTTGTGTCTGTCTTGAGTTGGCGTAGTGGCTCTTACTGGAACTACAGCGAAAAAATCCCTCTGGCCCAGAAATATTTTTTCTCATGTAATCACAAACTGCTCGTTTTCGGCTGACAGAGCATCTACAACTTTAAAAAATGTTGGATTTTGTGGTGATTTTTACCTATTTTCAGATCCTCAAAAGCTCAAAATCTGTCTGTTGTCTTAAAAAAAACTCTTTTTAATCATCCGCTTCGGCTCCGCTCTAGTTCCTCTCGCTCTGATTGGTCAAAGCGATCACGTGATACACAAGCCCACGCTCCTTGCTCACACTCGCCTGCATTCATGTGTGTCTGCGGGAGAAAAAAGCACTACTGCGCATGTTCAGTGTGCAGGGAGTCACCAGAAATACGTCGCCGGGCTAAAGGCGAATCTGGAGACATGCACCTTTGAGCTCGGCCCTTTAACTTGATTGAACATCCATCTTTAAACCCTGGGGCTTGCTTTACCTTCACTAGAATCATTTGGATCATTTTTGCGCTGGAATTGACGATCTCTAGTGAACTAAATGTAAAAAAGCACCTGTTAACTTGAAAACTTCCACTTCACGACATCACAAAGTAGAGCAGAGCATTTTAAGCTTTGGAGATGCACAGTAAACAACTCTGGGTTTGATGTTTTTGATGAGGTAACAACATTATAACATGATTTAAAGCTATAAGAATCAATTTTAGACTTTAAGAATATTAGAGAATATTACAAAATAGTGGCCAAACGTTACACAGGAGCTCCCAAATCTCCCGCTGCTTGACTTCCTGAATGCATATCAATAAAAAAAAATAAAAAAAACTTTGCACATTTACAATACCTCTGAAGAAAACAGATGATCACAGGAGCATTACTCAGTGTATAAGCTCGAGTACAGCAATAGGTCCTGAAGTGGAAGAGGAATACAGGAAGGATATCTCAAATTTATCAGAAATTTTGGATACATTTCTCATAAAGTAACCCACAAACATGAGCTAAAGTGGCGTCTAAAATGTAACTACCAGTCAAAACTTTGGACTCTCCTTCAGTTTTTTTCTGTATGTTTACTACTTTCTACTTTTGTAATAAAATAGGCAAGGCAAGACAAGTACACAAAGTAATTCATAGTGATTTACAGAATAAGAAATACATTAACATCACAATAAAAACAAATCAAAACATAAATAATCATCATAAAAAAAACACAGCTAAACAGATCCATTTTGAGCCCGGATTTAAACATTGTCAAAGTAGATGTTATTAGGTTCTTTTTTTCAGACCTAGAGTCTTATTTCATACCTGACAGTTTCGACTTTTCGAGTGGTCACGAAAAAAAAGAACCTAATAACATAGAATATCGGAAGACCAAATGAATCTCATTGGACTATTGTCAAAGCAGGGTCCTGTCTCGCATGTTCAGACTGTTCCAGGTTTTATTTTTTGCTGCATGAACCTGAAACAGTGACTCCCCGTGTTTAGTCGTGACTCTGGGCACCAGCAAGAGGTCGGTCCCTGAGCTCCTCAAAGTGGTGCTCGGTTGTTACGTCCCAAAATAAGTCAAAACATATTTAGGAAGGGACAAAGTTAAGGATTAAGCCAGAGATGTTCATTTTGTCATCTTTTGTGCTTTCATTTCTTGGGTTCTTTTTAAAGACAATACAGTAAATTTAAGGCAAGTAAAGTAAGATAAATTCACTTTACTATTCGTTCGTTCGTTTTTATTTAGATCCTTATTAGCTATTGAAAAACAGCAACTACTCTTCCTGGGGTCGGTGTCTGTACTGCCTTTAAAAAGAACCCAAGAAGTTAAAAAGTTAAAGATTGCGTATTCTTTTATTTTTTTGTATTTTGGAAGATGGAACCTGCCCAAAAAAAACCCCAAAGTACTAAAGGGAAAAGACCCTGGTGAGCCGACCAACGTAAAGTAAGGACGGTGCGCTGGACAGGCCAACTCTACTTGGCTGCTGTCCGTATCGTAACGAAAAACGCAACCCTCAAACTGTCTTTACATAAAATAACAAACAAAAACAAGACGTCTGGACCCAACAGGGCAAACAAGCATAAGACTAGGTTAACAGAAAGGTAACAAACCGACGAGAGGACGTTTGCGCTCCAGGAACGGCGAGCCACAGCGAGGGACGGAAAGTGAGAGCATGCCAGACTCGCTCCTAAGTAGAAATTTGGAGCAAACAAAAAAGAACCTTAAACATTGAAAAAATAGGAATAACTTGCAATAACAAATCTGGGAAAATACTATAAAAAATAGCCAATAAAAAAAAAAATACAGGGGAAAACAAAAGGTGCCCAAGCGTAACAAAGGCCATGGAGAGATTTGTGCACAAATAGAGCAACTTTAAAGTCTCTTCTCTGACCCACAGGGGGCAGTACTGAGACCTGAGACCCGGACTTACGCGCTCGTAGTTCCTGGACCCGAGCTGCAGCGTTCAGGATGGAAATATGGAGATATGTTATAACCAAATGCGTAAATTTGCCACTTTTTGCTTTGTCGAAAATTATTTAGTAGAGATATTCAGCTTTTTTCTTTACTAAATAATTCCATAAATCTCCCTTCATATATTTGATTTTTTCTGTGTGTTTCTAAAGTACAGAAAGTAGTAAGAAAAAACAAAACAGAACACGGAGTGAGAGGCTGAGTCCAAACTTTTGACTGGTAGTTTACATCAAAACTGAATAACAAATGCCTTAAGCTGTCAAAGCGATTAACATTTCTTAAATTTTTACTTGAACTCCAAAAATTTGTCTATCAGATATAAGCTCACGAAAACAGAATTTGATTAAAATAAGTCAGTTTTTTGTTTGTACACTGGAAGCTTTCAGACCACCAGCTCGCGAAACCACTTAAGCATTTTTTGTCTATTGCATTTGAAAAAAAAAAGTGGTATTTCATGTAAAAACAGGCACATTTCTATTATAATTTCAATAATTTAACATTTTTATTTCATTATATTAATATTAAATGGACCGGGCATATTTTGATGATGTGTTTTTGTTGTAGATTTAGTCGTTGCACTTGAATTTTTTGGGTTAAAAATTATGAATTACTTTAAAATACTAAACACATATCATTGATTAGATCATTTTAGTTGTTAAAAATATTTCTATGATTTAAGTGTATTTGATAAGCTACTGATTGTTGATAATTTCTTTTCTTTGCCGCAGTTCTAATGAAGTTTATTGAAAAAAATCTGCTCCAATAGACCCTTTAAAATCCAAATCAAAATGTTCAAAATTGTGGAAAGGAGGCGACTGGAGCCAAAGTGAAGCAGACGTGATGGATTTTCAGCGATAAACTTATGAGCAGATCTAAATTCTGATGGTTTTACAACATTATAACAAAAAATAAACAACAAATTTGAATTTCCAAGGTACATGTTTTAGTTAATTTGCTTCTCTGTTAAGAAAAATACAAATTCTCACCTCGAAGTTGTGTTTGAGCTTCACAAAAACGGGTAACACTTTATTTTAGGGTACACTTATTAACATCTAACTACCTACTAGTAAGAATAGTTGATGTAGATGGTTATTTTGTCATGAATTAGTATTTATTCAGGCCTTATTAATGTTTATTCTGCTGTTAGTTAAACATTTACAAACACTTTCCTATAAATACACTCTTTATTACTGCTTATTACTATGATATTAAGTCATTTTTGTCCATGAATTGTTTTGTACAACTACCTATTCATATGAAGTATTAATATTAATGTCACAATACAGGAATTAAGTGTGAAGAAGAGACCACTTTAGAACAAGGGACCATATTTCATTTTAATTTGTGTCATTTAATAAAAAACGATCAAAACGTCTCTTTAGAATGGGGAACATATTTAGAGCTTAATGATTTCATTCGTGGCGAGTTGGACTCTATTAACGCCTAAAGCCGGGCGTACACTGTGCGATTTTTGGCCCTTTTTGAGCCGATTTTTCACTCGTGCGACTGTTTTTGGGGATCGGGCCGAGTTTTGTCTTAGCGTATTTTCCGGGCGAATGGACGCGGTCTTAAGTCTCTAACCGCATCAAAAAACGACCGCGCGCACCACAATCCAGAGCGCCCCATACACGAATCCACTCGGGTGTCCCAGCACGACTTCAGTAAACTACAAAGCCGCAGAACACGCAAACACACACGGAGCAGACGGCGACCGCACAGCGAAAAACACCCACAGACACACTCATCACTCCACGCCGACGAGGAACGGAACGGAGGAACGAACCGAAAAAGCGAGTGCAATGTGCCGCTTCTAGACACGACTGAACAACTGAGTCACTACGACCGATCCGTTGGTCCCAGACAGCACCCTCCCTACACGCCACAACTGAACAAAGCCCAGAGTCACCGTGAACGAACAAACAAACAAAACCACTCACCCATCACACTGTTGTGTTTCATTTAAAGTCGGGTGTGGTTTATTTGTGAAAAAAGTTTGAAAATAGACCATTTAATGACTTATAATCCAAAGCACCTAATAGCCCGGAAAATACAGTAACCGTGCGTCGTGCTTCGTGTAGTAAACGGGGTAACAAGAAGCGATTAAAACCTCACTCCCAGCTCCCGATCGGGAATCATAGGCCACAAGAAAATCAAACCTCTTTGAAATCCAGTCGCCTCTCGTGAGGGTTTCGCTCTGCTGAAGTCCTTCCAAACGCGCTGTGAACTTTTTAACCCTGTGATTTGGTCGTACAGTTTGAGCTGGGGCTGAGAGAAACCATCGAAAATATCTCAGTAAATATATCGGTGTACCTCTGGCGTAGTAGAGCGTGTTCAATTACACAAGAGTAAGCAAGATTTATTAAGTGCAAATAAGTAAAAACTACATTTCTTGTGCTACTCGTCCTTAACAACGCGCTTATTTGTACCAAAATCTTATTAGAAACATAATTCATGGACAAAAAGGGCTTAATATCACACAAATAAGCAGTAATAAGGAGTGTATTAATAGGAAAGTGTTTGTAAATGTCTAACTAACAGCAGAATAAACTTATGGGAATTATCAGACATTGATAAGGACTGAATAAATACTAATTAATGACAAAATAAGCATCTAAAACTACGCGAATTAGCAGATAGTTCGTTGTAGAATACAGAATTGAACCCTAAAATAAAATGTTATCACAAAAAGTATAATCTAATAATGTTTAAATGTGTAATATATCTGTAGTTGAAGTGAAAAACTGTAGTAAACTCAACTTTTTACGAGAGAATTTGACTAGTAAATTCCAAAATCTGGACGTTTCCTTTGTCTTAAATGCTTAGTGTTGATCATAATCTCTTTTTAAATTAACAAATAACGTAAAACACTAGTACAAATGTTTTTAAACTCAGCTCTGATGTCACTCACATGTGTCCGAGTGGTTTTCGTTGGCCAAATTTCTCTTAATTTTTCATATTTTGTCATTTTCTGAAGTTAATCACATTGAAATCTCATTATATTCTGGTTCACTTTCACCTCCAGCCGCCTCCGTTTCTGATATTTTTTAAAGGGTCTATTCTGTTCTTGATATTTTGTATTATTTGTGCGTATTGTTTATTTTGCAGTTCAGGTATTTCAACTAACGATCTTACAGTGTTACAAAAAAAAACATTGGATTTTTTTGCCAGTTTTTGTATCTCGTGTCAGTCCTCTGCTCTAATACTCTTAACATTTGCTGTATTTTATTTTGATTATTTAATTAATATGCTATAAGAATAAGAGTGGAACAAGTCTATTTTCGATCACAGTTTTGTAAAAGTGTCACACAGTATTTGAACTCGTGTAAATATGTTGATTAATCCTTCATTCATTAAAGTTCATTTCAGTTCTTACATGTACAGGGATCATTTCATAGTTTTAACATTTCATACCACATTTGATAACATTGTACATTTGCCATCAGACTCTTAACATCATTCAACTGTTTGTGTGAGAGCTGAAATAAAGTTTTAACATTGTAAAGTTGTTTGGTGATCACGTGTTTCTTTGGATTTTGTAGAATCTAGCAGAAACTGAGAAATATAGAAGGATTTGCTTTGTCGTCTACACTCTTCACAACCTGACGAAGTTTTCCATGGAGGACGGGACTCTTAACGCTACACTGGCATCTTCTTTTTTTTATTTTTAAGTTATACAAATTATAATACACAAAAAAGAAAGAATACAATGACATCTAGATGAAGAAAATGGGAGCATTTTCCCAGATTTTGTCAGAGTTAGTGTTGTACACAGAACCCAAAGGAAGTCGTCATCTGCATGTTTCCAAACGTCTTCCGGTCAGCGCCGTCGCTCCGCACCTCAACCAAAAAATCAGGCTTGTGAATCCTTGCAATCATCCATCAATCAATCACCAATCAATCATCCAAAGTGGACGGAGAGAGGCAAAAAGCCGGTGCCAGCACGAACAGAATCTCTCTTTCACTGTCTCCCTCTCTGTCTCTTCCTCCTTTACTTTCTCTTTCTGTCGGTGAGCCCAGTGTCGGGAACTACACTGGAAAATGTCAGCACATGTTTCCAAATGTCTTCGACTTTTGTGACATAAGCGTGAATAGCTCTGTGTATTGACCGAAAGGACGAGATCACGGATACAAGCGGTTGAAATGAGTTTCCTTCGCAGGGTGTCTGGGCGCTCCCTTAGAGATAGGGTGAGGAGCTCAGTCACACGGGAGGAGCTCAAAGTAGAGCCGCTGCTCCTCCACATTGAGAGGAGCCAGCTGAGGTGGCTCGGGCATCTGTTTCGGATGCCTCCTGGACACCTTCCTGGGGAGGTGTTCCGGGGAAGACCCAGGACCGCCTGGGAACGCCTCGAGGTTCTGGAAGGAAGCCTGGGAGTCCCTGCTTAGACTGCGGCCCCGCGACCAGGCCCCGGATCAGCAAAAGAAAATGGATGGATGGATAGATTTTTTTGTGTGTGATCGTTTGCATTATTCTGTATTATTATCTCTATGTAAAAAGGCACTGGTGGAAGTTGGAGACCAGTGCCATCCAGAGGACAGTACTGGGACTTGCTGGGGGAGAAAGTCACAGGCACATGACAAAACATGACCCAAGTTCCACATTTTCATAATCAGTCGTTTAAAGGAGGGTTTGTGCAGTTGTTTCAAGACTTAGATATGGTCAAATCAAATATAACCTTAACAGTTTTAATACTGATTTGTTCTTAATTACAAAAACAAATTGGCCTTCATATCTAGTGTTTGTGGATTCAGCATTATTACAGTCCTTATAAGCTGTAATGTTTTAAGTAAGTTACTCAGTTTCTCATCTCATGGGCAAGTCTTTCAAACTTTAATCGTTCAAACGTACTGTAAAAAGGAAAACTGGCCTCTAAAGTTTGCAAATAACCTACCTGTGTATAAATGTAGTGGACGAAGTGTTTTGCTCATGGGCACAACCACAGAATGTACTTAAATTGGAGCTTATCTTACAGTTTGCAGGTGAACACTCTAAACACTAAGCCCCTGTGAACATTATAATGACTCCTCCATAATTAACTGATTAACTATTATTATTTACTGTTCCCAGACACCATAATCATCTTAACGAAGTCAGATTTATTGGATTATCGTGGAGACACTTTGTCCACCAGGCGTCTCTAATGTATTTACACATGTGTTGTACAAATATTAGGAGATGGACGACTGAATGACAGCAGCTGCTCTAAACCTGTTCACCGTGTGTGCCTCGCTCTCCTACAAACCGCAGAGGCTTTGCAGTAACCGTGACTGCAAATACTGCGAGATTTAAGAGCGCGCTAATGGGTCGATTTAAAGTTTAAATCAGGATTATAACGGATTGAAACCAGAAGTACTGAACCAGGACTTGAAAAAAGGACTGAAATTAAACAAAAATCTAAAAAAAAACTGAAGAAAACCTGAACTAAAAATGTATTTGCCATGGTTGGAATTTGATGATAAAAAGAAAGACTGAATATTAGAACTAAAAGAAGAAATCAACTTTGACTGAATCGAAATACAAAATACACCGTAAGAACAAGAACAGAACAAAAAAAGGAGCTTTATGTACACAGCAAAAACTGGAGGGCTCAAATTTCAGGATTAAATATTTCAGAGTTGTTTTTAACACAAAAACCTGTTATTTTAACCATAATTTGAAAGTTAAATGGGGGCTGAGTTGGGGTTATTTGCCAGAGTTGATATGGTTGACATTAATTCAACTTCCCCTAGTGTTAATTCAACTTCCTCTGGTGTTATTTTGGCTCTTCCCACCCACCACGTCAAACTCCCATGAGAGAAGAACCAGTTTGAACCAGTTTTGTACATAATTTCATCTTAAATGAACTAAAATAAAGTGTAAAAATAAAACACCCCTGTGTGTTGTTTAGTTAAATCAGAATAACCCTACAAAGTGTTATCTGTTTACACTCAAAGCGTTAATATAACTCTTGATTTTGGAGTTAAACAAATCCAAAAAAATGTTAAATTAACTCAAAGAACAGAATGGGCTCATATCAACCCTGAGAAAATGTTCAAATTGATTCTGTGAGAGTCAATGCATTTAATATTTGATTACACATATTTGGTGTGAAAGTAGATTGAGTTTGAATGTCTTTGTTTTATCTTCAGAGTGTGTGTTTACTTCCTTTTATTGCTTTATACCAGGGGTCATCAAACTGCAGCCCACCATGTCTCTTTGACCTCTGCCCCCCACCACTTGAACTGGCCTTGTAAAACAATCCTCAAAAGTTATCATGGCCTATTTTATTTTTTTTTTACTTTTTGGCAAATAATAACATGTCTGCATCTTGTATTTTGTAGTTTGTTTGTTTTTTTCAATTAAAAAATGATATTTATATGAAGTATTTATGTTTAGATTATTATATGACGTATTTACATTTGCCGTTGAATTTTCTTCACCTGAAAAACTCGAGATCAAACAGTGACAGTCGACGCACGAGCAGAGGTCAGTAGTGCAGTTAAAAACAGCAAAATGGTTCGTATTAACCCTCTCAGGCTCAAATTAATTTTTAGTATCAGGAAAAATCTGATATTTGGGGAGAATTATAATATGGGGTAGTAATATACAATCCTGACTTTTTTATCCTTTGTAAACAAAAAAAGTATTTTGTATCGCCCATGTTGATCAGCATGGATGGGAGAAAAGGCTCCTGAGTAAAAAAAACTCATAAAATATGGATGTGGAGTAAGTAGGTACTTGGAATTTAGCTGTTGCAAATCTGCAACGTCTGCCTGGAGAGGGTTAAAGTATGAAAACGTAACCAAAAGTGCAGAGTTTTCAAAGAACAGTGGACGACCGATTATTTTTTTGTTTGGTGTAAGGACCGTGCAGTTTGTCTGATGTGTAAAGAAAGTGTGGTGGTTTTCAAAGAATATAATCTGCGTTAATTCTGTTTCACGACCCCGACCCGACCCCAGCCCACGTCAGAGCCACGGAGTGATAATGTGACCCCCAGAGAAAAAAGTTTGGTGACTCCTGCTTTATGCACTGAAAGAGAAAAACTATGACCACACTATTCACATCTGGGCACATTTTACAATTAGGACCTGCGAGGCCTTCACCTGACTGTGTGCCTCCCCAGAATATGCACATTAAATATACAAAAAATACAACTTCTTATACAAAATAATGAAAAATATGAGGTGGGAGGTGCTTTCTAATCCATTATTCTATTACAGCATTACTCACTATTGGTCCCACATTTACAAATTGCTTCTTAATTTGTGTAAAACTACATTTAGACTCACAACAAACAACAAGTATTTCCCCAAATTACGTCAGACTTGGAGCATCATCAAAACCACCGTCCATCATCAGCTCTTTAACTCTCAGGAATCCCACACATTTCAAAACCTATTTGTAGCGGTTTGCAAGTTTCTTTTCCTCTTTAAAAACCAGAATATTTAGTTACTAGTAGACAGATTTTCTATTTTAAACGACTGAAATGTTGAACTGTGGACTCGTGATTCTCCGTTCATGTGACTCAAAGTGATTTTAACGGACATGATGTGTAAGAGTAATGACTGATGACCAGACTTTAATGTATTCTAACGCTCATGTGATAGTGACCTGTTGAATTAAAAGTCCTGTATTACACAAACTTGAATCTTGTGAGGTTTAAAGGGCCTTGCATGTTTACTTATTTAGGCGTATACATATTTTTAACAGTTTTAAGTTCACACACCTTCACTAGAATCATTTGGATCACTTTCAGGAAGCCTAAATAATAACTTTGAGACTAAAAAAAGAAAAAAACTGGTCTGCTTTGCTCTTGGCGAGGCCCTATGGCAGGGGTATCAAACTCATTTTGGTCTGGGGGTCGTATCCAACCTACTTTGATCCCAAAGGGGCCGGATCAGAAAACTCATGTCATATAAACCCCAAACATAACAATAAGTTCAAATATTTGTGCAGAGAAACACAAATCTATTACAGAAATCTTTTTTTTAAATTGATGAACTCTTTCTTTTACAAAATGTTATTATGAATATATTATGAACAACCTGAAACTTTAAGAAAAATACAATTTCAACACAATGTTTTAATATGAACTTCTTTAACATTAACTTGTATAAATAGGAATAAGTCAATTTTTCTTGGTAAATCCTGCACGCGACGTCCACTTTTCTCATGTTGGACATTTTTCTGATGAGGGTGTCACGGTCAACAGTCAAAACGATCGTCCTTTAAGAGCGTTTGGAAAGAGACAAGTCTTCATTTGTGCTGCTCTGGTGGGAGGGGCCACGTACAGAGACGCTGGAGATGCTGCTCTGCTCAGCACCGCAGAAAGTTAACAATATTTTAATAAAAAATAAAATTAAAATATTTTAGTAGAAAATCAGCCGAGGGCCAGATTAAAGGTCTTGGAGGGCCGGATCTGGCCCCCGGGCCGCATGTTTGACACCTGTGCCCTATGGACACTATAGAGCCCCATCATACACATGACAATAATGTGAGAAAAAAGAATCAACAGTCTGCTTTTT